TGAGAATGGTTCAGTGGTAATCATGCCAAACAATGGGTCCACGGTTCCTATTTTCGCGTCACGTGACTGAAAAAAAAATCGTACTCCACATTTTGTGGCTGTAGGTAAGTGTCAGAAATAAAAGACTGTTTAGTGCAGGTAGTATTATTAACTTATTTATTTGGTGTTTGTAATTGGGAAATTTCCTGACGGCCTAAGTGATAAACGTATAAATAGCTGCGACCAGACAAGCGAAAACAGAGTAAAGTAAAGTCACGTGAAAGAGAAGTTCGGTCAGAAAAAAGTTAGACATCGTGAGAGTGAATGGCTTAACGGTTGATATATGAGTGAGATTAACAGTTTGAAAGAGATAAGGATAATAATTTGTCTCGTCAAAGGGTGTTCTAAACTAATTGAGCCCGCCTGTGTGGACTTTGACAAAAGGTAGACGATTATTGGAAATTCAGAATACAACTGCGATAACTTACGCGACAGTGTAAGTGAATTACATACGGATACTATTGCGATAAAAATAAAGAAAAAATAGTTCGGCTTGTCAACTGAATTCTAAAGCATTTTAATACGTCTAAGTGGACTTTTGACAAGAAGAAGATAACTGTATAGTGTTTAAGGTACAACTATGATCTCCACAATGAATTTTTGTAAATACGTTTAACTTGTTCCGAATATATATATATATTATTTTAAAAGCAAGTGGTTGCATGCTGTTCGTTTATTGTCGAATTCATCTCCAACAAGCAGACACCTAATGTAGAAGAATCCTTAGCCTAACACGCCCATATACTTACATTACTATATATACTACTAAAAAGTAGTTCCCGACAGTGAGTTATAATTCCACTATTCAGTCAGACAAGAGTTGGCTGTGGATACTAGTTGTCTTCTCTCTAGTCTATCAGTTTAAAATTAGGGACGGCTAGTGCAAATATATATATACTCACATACATAATTTACTGATTAATAATTAGACTTAAATGGTAGAATAGGCTACTAACCGCGACAGCTACCTTAAGATTTAATTAGCCTTGATTTTAAACAAAACTTCATTTGGAATTAACAATATTGCTGTGTTTGTTTGTTTGAAGTTAAGTCCAAAGCTACACAATGGATTATCTGTGCTATGCCCACCACAGGTATCGAAACCCGGTTTCTAGCGTTGTAAATCCGCAGACATATCGCATCCGCAGACATTTAAAGCATATAATGTTAAAAAAGATTATTTTTTTCAATTTAAGAAATTTATATATTTGAATGTCCAGTTTCCCGTCATTTATGTAAAACAATAATTTATGGGACAATTTTTGTGACGTGTAATAGTCATTGGTTACGTTATGTGTTTGTTCTTTGGTAAAAATCCAAACATTTCAAGTCTTCTTAGAATGTTTTGAAAGTATACATTAGTAACATTAAAACGGTAAATGGTATCGTGTTGAAACTTTGTTATTATCTCACTTCTGTTTAAAAGTTAAAATTTTAAAAATTTTGAAAACAGGTTATTTGCATATTTTTCGTTATCAATTTTAACCAAATGTGGCGCCATCTACTAAGCCTCTGAATTTTTTCAGATGCAAATATGTCAATCAATTGTACCGTTTGATTGATCAGTAAGTTACCATGATTTCAGTTTCTTTTTTAACTCATTTAAAACTTTTCCCGGTCTTTATTTATGTTGAATCATTTGGTTATATTAAAGAGCAGGTAAATTTCATTATTTCATAAGATCTTGTGGGTAAAAAATAATAATATTTCATTATATGATGTTGTCAGATTTTGCCGCAGGGGAAAATATGGAAAGAATTTAAATAAGTATAAATACTATTCTTAAGCACGAATGTTTTTTCTTCTTTTTAGATAATTAATATATAAACATAAATATAAACACTGAGTTCTGTTAAAGGAAATTTTTCATAGAGCTAGAGTATACTTTCCCTTCAGAATTTGAGAAATATTTATTTCTAAAATAATATTTTAAAAGTTTCTTTTAAAAATAATATTTCTATTTTGCATTAAACCGCGTAGGTTAGCCGAGTGCAAACTCATTTACGTGATCTTTTTTTGTTCAGTTATGTTAGGCTCACTGTGATAAAGAATTTAGATTCTATTTAATTTTTTGTTTGTTTTTAGATAATATTTCATATTCCATAATATTAGATAATATAGCGAAGTGATTCGGTATCTATGAAAATTATTTTCATTTTATCATAGCATTAAGAAATAAACCTTTTTCTTCGGTTAAAAGTAGTAGTTTTGTTGAGTTAGTAGTTTAATTTCTTATTTTGATTCAAGTTTTCTATTTAGAGACGCATTTAGCTGAAATTTCATCGAATTTAGATTATTTACATATATTTTTAGTGTTTTTAACCGCCACTAGTTCTGTCATCTGTCATACATGAAAATAGATTATAACATTATTTATCTGGTTTATTTAGAGTTTGTTTATTTGTGTTTAAGAGCAAAGCTACTCAATGGACTATCTGCGCTATGCGCGCAGCGGGTATCGAATCCCAGTTTTTAGCGTTGTAAGCTCTCAAGCTTACCGTTGAAGCATGGATGGCTTTATTTAAATGATTTATGCATACGTCTTCAGTAACTGATTAGTAAGAGCTTTTAATGACAAAAAATATTGTTTAGTTCTGTTAGAAATTAGCAGTTAGTCATAAACCTTAAACACTTATTCATATTGTTGTTAAACTTTGACTTTTGATTCCAGCTGGTGTTTGCTTTCTGTAGTTAAAAATAACTGAACAATTTCAAATGCAAAAAAAAAAGTACATTTTAGTCCATGCAATCCATGTTTACAGTGTTAGTACAACAACGACCACATTCTTGTCTTATTGTTATGTAACATTTTATTGAAACAACTTCAACATATATATTTGTAAGCAAAATAGCAAACTTCAAAGAAAAAGAAAGGTAACTCTGTAAACGATAATATGGCCGCCAGGGCCAAACATATAAATTACTACGAGTAAGGAATGATCCTGCCTTGTGAATCATGTACAAATATTTAATGAAAGTCACAGTTGAATAAGTGATATCTACACAGATAACAAAAACATACAATCCTCAGCAGTATTAGGACGACTGTTCGTATCAGTCATTTTCGTTAGATCTTTCAGTCTTTCATCTCCACAAAAAGTTCTTTCCGACAGTTCTAAACATTACTTGTCAGATGTGATGAATGTATTATTTATAGTAAAATGTAATAATATTCATTAACTGCTGTATATTTAACTAATAGGAGCAAAAGTCATTTACTAAAGGAGTCGACCGTGACAGAAACTGCTCTTACTCCTATACATAGTCAATCGCATTTTATAAGAATAATTTGCATATTCTAATGCAGTAACTTGTCGCCATAGATGTGAGACGTGTTTAGTACATATATATTTGTTTCACTTCGAATTTTCGACCATTCAAAAATGAGTTGCCGATAGGCATCACTAGTGGTTAGAGGAGTATGTGACTTCGTTTTCTGAAGAGATGTATTCAGGCGGCGAGATTATTAAATGATGAAAAGCCAAAGAAGACAACATTTCGAAGAGTGGTGCCTTCAATGTTTTGTCTAGATGCAGTAGAAATAAAACTCGCAGAGCAAACGCGATCCAAAACCACATCCCAGAACAATCTGGAGCAGCGCCTTTATCTGCAAAGTGAAGAATGTAGTTACAAAAAATAATACTCCGATCCAAACAATCATCCCAATGAATCTGGGCATATCTCCTAGTACCGTTAACATGATAATAAACTGGGGTTTGAAACCAACGAATGCTCACAAGCTTCCAGTCACAGCTCGAGATAAACAACTGTTTTTAGGAAACGATGACAAAAAACAACAACTAAAAAACAAAGAAACTAGGATTACAGCGAACATTTTGATTACATTCTTGTGAAGTCCCGTAATGCAACTCCAATGTACTTTAGCTTGCAGTAATTTGTAGTTACGATCACTAGACTGAATATGGTTCGACGATGCAGTAAGTAAATGATGATAAAAATCATATTTAAAATAAGTATATCTTAAAGACCATTCATCCTAGGGGAACACAATTTCACCAGAAGCACTTTGAAAATCACTAGTTTTATTCAGGACAATTGGAATATGCACAGAGCATTTAAAGACCATATAATTTTGCATCCTCAAATAGCTCTAATTCTAAACTGGTATTGTTTTTGTTTTTCTTCTTTTTCTCTCTTTAAACAATACGAAATTAACGACTTAAATATATTATGTGTCAGTGGAACAGATGATGTTTGTATTGGTTTCATTTAGGTAGAGGCTTGATATGCTGATTGAGAATGACGGAAACATATTGAACTCTTTCTGTGACAATTTTTTAAATTCTCTGTACCATGTCCAAGCTCTTCTGGAGAAAGCATGTGATCCTCAATATGCCCCTGATGAAACTTAGCTTTCCTAGGACAAGCAGTTTCTATAATATAAACATTATTTTTCTTTATGATCGTTCTGCTGTCTTGCAAAGTGTGATTAATCCTGAGTAGCACTGTTGGAATAGTTACCATACTGCAAAAAGTATCGATAAAACGAAACAAAACATCCTAAATTAGCAATGGAAAACACATAAAATAAATATTTGTACAGGTACAAGTTAAAATTTAAACCACAGTTTTATGTTAATAAATACTATCTGTACAGCTGTTAGTTACTGATTAGTCATGCTTTTCGTCAATAATTCTGTACGAAAACTCTGTACTTAAAAAAGTGATATTTTACATTGAAAGTCAAAGTAGCAATAAATTACACGTAAGCATAATACGCATAGATGTGTATACCTGTAAAACTATCAAAATAACTGGCCAGAATATGAACTTTGATGAAAATGATAAAAAAAATTGCTTGATTCATCTTTTTCCCCACTGATCACGTGACTGTGTTTGGTATCAAAACCTCATATAACAAGAATAATTTATGTGTATATAAAATTTTTCTTATTACCTTAGAGTACTAATATATGAAAATAGAAAATCAACCAATAACATAACATAGACACCCTGTTTTATTCAACACTGTTTCAAGTGGAACAGGTGTCGTAACTTCAATATTTAAAGCAAGCAATAAGGATTTTTTTTGCTAAAATCCAAAAAAGAAAAACCCTAAAAGATTCAGCACTTTAGTATTTCTTCAACACAAATAACACACAACGCACAGAAGCTCGGACGTAACAACCTGAATACAATAATTACACAATATCAAAGGACACTCTTCACCACCCAGCACGCCATACGAAAATACTCTAATTCGAGAGTATGGAATGCTGGGTGGTGGGTAAGTTCCTATAAAAGCTCATAGAATATGGTCTTTAAAGCATTGTAATTATAATTTGATTAACTCTAATGAATTATTCAAGAACTGCGATGAAGGGTAACATTTATAGTTAATAATGAGTGAATTAACATTCACTATTTAGAAATAAACAGAAAACCCATACAAACAATATTTTCCTTTCACTAAAAAAATAACTCATCGAGCAATAATTTTTTTTGAATTTAAAATTTTAGTATTAACGCTTTGCACTGAACATTTTATTATAAAGCAAGAAGAAATGAATGAAAAAAACGTTTAAGGTATGGATAATTTTGTAGGTGATAAACATAATTTTAGAGCCTTGTGAATTCAGATTGGTTGTGGTTGTTTGTATGACAACAAGAGTTAAGCGTTGTTTTCTACATTACTAAAAACTGGTGCATCGTTTGTCGTTTCCTCGCTAGATGTCCCTACTCACATCAACTTCTGCTTGGCACATTCTGGGCACAATATATCTGGACCATCCGTGATGAAGCCTTTGCCTACCATGGAAGAATTACACATGGCGCAGATGAAACATTCATTGTGCCAATTGCGGTCTTCAAACGAAATAAATCGGGTTCCACCAATACCTATAGAGAAAAATGTAAAACATTTTAGAAACGTAACTCATGGTAGCTGACATTTTAGTAAATCTCGAAATTATAGAGTTAAAAATAGCACTAAATATCAACACTGAATGTTGATTAACTTTCCTATCTTTTACAAGAGGACAACTGTGGCGAATTCTTACTGAAGATTACTGTATGAAAAGTATTGCTAATTACATGTATTTTTTGGAAACGGTTGTAAGTGTTTTTACAAGATACTTGAGGAACAATTTGGTGATTAAAATACACGATTGTAAGTACTTCAGTTATAGATAAGTGTATATCGAACATTAAACTCGTATACCATGGGTCAGATCTATCGCAATAATCTGAACATGTAAACCATGAGTCTGATTTATCGTTGTATTAATCTGAACTCGTATACCATGAGTCTGATTTATCGTTGTATTAATCTGAACACGTATACCATGAGTCAGATCTATCGTTGTAATAGTCTGAATACATATACCATGAGTCTGATTTATCATTATAATAGTCTGAATACATATACCATGAGTCTGATTTATCGTTGTATTAATCTGAACACGTATACCATGAGTCAGATCTATCGTTGTAATAGTCTGAATACATATACCATGAGTCTGATTTATCGTTGCATTAATCTGAACTCGTATACCATGAGTCTGATTTATCGTTGTATTAATCTGAACTCGTATACCATGAGTCTGATTTATCGTTGTATTAATCTGAACTTGTATACCATGAGTCTGATTTATCGTTGTATTAATCTGAACTCGTATACCATGAGTCTGATTTATCGTTGTATTAATCTGAACTCGTATACCATGAGTCTGATTTATCGTTGTATTAATCTGAACACGTATACCATGAGTCAGATCTATCGTTGTAATAGTCTGAATACATATACCATGAGTCTGATTTATCGTTGTATTAATCTGAACTCGTATACAATGAGTCTGATTTATCGTTGTAATCATTCTCTATCAATAAGTTTTGTTATCCGTAATACGCTGCATAGCAAAAATCGTTACTTCCTTAATAGTGCATATAGTTCGTGTTATATAACAGTGGCTGAAAGTATATATATCTAAAAACCTTTGATATAGAAAACGTGAATTAGTGTAATTTTGGAAAACGGCAACAAGGATGAAACTAGTAACATAAAACTCATGTAAAATGGATTTCACTTAGAGATTGTTAAAACTTTTTCTTTCTTTAAGCTAAGCGACACAATACATATAAATTGAAAATAAAATCAGTGAAACATATAATATATATATATCTTTGACCTTTTGCTTTTCTACCAGCATCGTTCAGTTGCCTGATATATTTGATTCTTAGAAATTCGACATCCCTGAGAGACCTTGATAAAAAATCCGAATCTTCTCTTCTTACCTGTAATAGGTTTGTTGCAAGAGATACATCTCTTAGCAAACAATTCTCCAAAACAATCGGCGCAATAGGGCTTATCGTCACGTGAGGTGAATCGTTGTCCGGCTAAGCATAAGTTGCAGTTTGTACAGCAGAAGCACTCCCGGTGCCACGGGTCATTCCTATACGTCACACCACCGCTAGTAATGATCTGATAAAAACGGACCAGATGTTAAACTAAACGGTTTACTTAAAAACACACAAAACAAGTTACAGCAGTAAAAGCAGTACAGAGTCAGAAGACACAGTTGTATACTTGTAAAAAAAGTCCTATTTAATAATCAATTGGATTTCACATTATGTAATGTACAATATAATTCAGCACGAAATTAATTTGATAAATACTACGTTCTACATCGTATTTTATTCTGTATAACATATATAGTATATATTCCAAGTTTATATTGCAGAATCAGTACTATACAGAGTGTTCAATAGTGTATTTTACTCTGCGTAACATGCAGTAAATATTCTGTATTCACCGTGGACAACCGATATTACACACAATATTCAACAACGTAGTTTACCATGTATAATAGACTACGTCCACTACCAAGTATTATTACCAGTGTATATCTAGTGTATTGGTGTGAAAAGATGTTCAGTAGAAATCAAGGGTGTCCGATTCACCAGACTGAGATGCTATGCAATATCCATAGCAAAAGATAACCAGCCACTATCATCAGGTACCGATTTACCAGCCTATGCATATCGCCTTGGAGGAAACCATCAGCCTCCAGGTCAGAGGGGAGATAGCCCAGGACAGGTATTTCAGCATAATTACCAAGCAGAATCAGCACAGAAGTGTAGCGAAGAGGTAGCCGAGAGGAAGGTAAAGGTGAAACAGCCTGCTATGAAGGAACATCAAAAAAGAAGTTGGAAGTGATGAGTGACATGATCTATGATTTTGGCAAAGTAAATTAAGGCATTCTAGAATGCCAGAGGCGGCAGCCCGAACGTATACTAAGTAGGCAGCAGAAGGGAATTAAAGACTTGAGGCATAGGTTGGTGAGCATGGAGTACCTCAATAGCAGCTGGCGGAGCACCTGAAATACACCTACTGTGATAGAAATCAGAAGACACCGATGCCTGAGATAGCTGGATTGGTGAAGCATACAAGACCTACATAAAGTTTGGCATAGCTAAACCAAAACTGGCGAAGGTTAAGAGGTTCATTATGAGAGCAAGAGCAGCTTCTGCTCCAGGCCCAAATGGAGTACCGTATAAGATGTACAAGAAGTATAGTGGACTTTTAAAGTTCCTCTGGAAACTGATGAAAGTTGTTTGGAGAAAGCATGAGGTTCCATCTTCGTGGGATAAAGTTGAAGGAGTGTACATTCCTAAGGATGAAAATTCAAGCAGTATCGGACAGTTTCGACTAATTTCGCTGCTGAATGTGGAAGGCAAGGTCATGTTTGTGATAACAGTAAAGAGAATGTCATCCTTTCTTCTGGAGAATGGCCTGATTAGCATTTCTGTTCAAAAGACAGAGATATTAGGCTTTTCGGAGTGATTAGAGCATACAAGCATGATGTGGCATACCATTCAGGAGGCAAAGAAGCAGCGAAGAGATCTGAGTGTGGTGTGACTTAATCTTTCTAATGCATATAGATATGTACTGCAAATATTGCTATTGACTTCTTCTGGATTCCTGACAAGGTGAAGGATTTCATTATGGGATACTTACTACGTGGACTTTCAGATGTGGTTTTCAACCTGAGAGTATACAATCAGCTGGTTGAACCTTGAAGTGGGTATCCCAATGAGATGAACTATATCTCACGTCCTGTTTGTCCTTGCAATGGAAGTCATCATCAGGGTTTCTGAGAAGGCTGGTTCAGGGATAGCATTCAGTGGATGAGGAGAGCTTCCACTGTTGCGTGCATTTATGGATACCTTGGTCCTACTCAACCCAAATGAAGAGGCAGCAACAGCATCTTGTCTACGCTTGAAAATCTTATGGATGGGGAAGGATGAAGTTTAAAACCAAGAAGTCATGCAGTTTGGTCTTAAGGAAAGGGAAACTGGTTAACACCTATTTCTTGTTGTGCAGCGAGGAGATTTCATCAAGCTAAAAGCAGCCTGTGAAAACCCTTGGACAGTGATATAATGATGAATTGAAAGAAACCAGGGGAGCTCATTGAGGCAGCTAAGCAGTTGGTGGGTAGTCTGGAAGTAATTGATAAGTGTGGTCTACCAGAAAAGTTTAAACTTTGGTGTCTACAGTACAGCCTTATGCCAAGGATCATGTGGTCACTGTATATGAAGTTGTGGTTAGCCATGTAGAATGGATAAAGCACCAGATGAATAAGTATATGATTGGGGATACCTGATTGTTTGAACAATATTGCATTACACAGCCACTGCATGAAGCTGGTGTTGCCAATGGAGTCTCTTGTAGAATAGTTCAAGGTATCCAAAGCAAGATCATTCATGACTCTAAAAGAGTCCTGTAGTCAGATATACACAACCTGATGTCAAATCCAGCAGAAAGTGGACTGCTGAAAAAGTGGTGAACGAAGCAGAGTCCAGATTCAAGCATAAGGAGATTGTTGAGCTACCCAAATAGGGCACCATGGTCTGGCATGGTCAAGTCATAAATGATGGTCATCTTCTGATGACCAAGAGCAACATGAGTTAGTTTCTCAGGAGATTAGAGAAGCAGAGGAAATAAAGAGACTAGCCACAGCAGTTGCTCAGGCCAAACAGGGTATTTAGACAAAATAAGAATCTGTACAACAGCAGACTTTATCATGGAATGTGCTATGGAGGATGAAGCCATTTAGAATTTCATTCCTTTAGCGTTTTCCATATGATCTGCTCACCATGCCATCCAACATAAGTGTTTGGTATGATGACAAGTCAGATTTGTGTTATGCTTGTGGTAGAAGGGTAATGTTGCAGCATATCCTGAGTTCATGCCCATCAAATCTATTTGGTGGCATGTACACTTGGCATAATAACAACGTACTCCGAGTGACTGTTGGTGCAATCGGAGAAAGAATATAGAAGGCTAATAAAAAATGGGCAGCAAGTGGCTCCAAAAAGTTTATCACCTTTTTCAAAGAGGGTCTTGGGCCAGGTAGTTACAGCAGCAGTCCACGGAGAAGCAGCAAATTCTCCTGTGCAAATGTCTGGAAGATGCCAGCAGCTATTGAGGGGATGGAACTTTCCACTTGAAATTGCTGTCATAAACCCCAGGCTGGATATTATTATCTGGTGAGCTATTCGGCATCAAGTAATCTTTGGTGAGATGACTGTATCATCGGAGGATGAAACCCAGGAATCTCATGAACGGAAGATCGACAAACATTTTTAACTGAGGTCTATTTGTGAGGATAGAGGATGGAAAGGAGCATGCTATCTGTTTGAAGTTGGCTACCGAGGCTACGTCGCAACTTCACATCATGAGTGGCTACGAGACTTGGGATCCAGGAACAATGTGATTAGAGGACTATGCAGAGGTGCAGCTGAAATAGCTGAATCAGATTCATCATGGATATGGTCAAAGTAAGTTCAGAGGAGTAGATAGACTACAGAAAGCAAGCCCACCATCGGGAGGTGGCGAGAGTACCCTGCTGGTCCACCCTACCCCCCAAGAAAGTACTGAGTTTTAAAGGGCCGAAACTTCCATTGATGGGTGGAAATTAGCTGATGATCCTGAAACTACAGTCTTCAGCCTTTGTGTATTGATTTCTACCCAATGATGTACGTTACCCATGGATTACTGGTGATAAACATTTCAACTGTGCATTCTACCCTGTATAATATGTTATACCTAAAGCTTCCTCATCATGGATTACTGGTGTTAAATAGTACATTCAGCAGTATATTTTACCCTATATAATATTCTACACCCAATGTAAGTTCATCACGGATTACTGGTGTTAAATAGTTTGTTTAACAATGTATTTTACTCTGGATAACACAAAGTGAACATTTTACCTTCAACTTGGGATTCATTGAATAGCAATGTATTTTACGGTGTTTTTGTTAGGGTAGCACGCAGAAAATCACGGAGTTGTTCATAATTGGTGATATACAACGTACTTTATCTGTAGATATCATATATGCTCAAAATATACAGATAGACTTTATACTCGACATTACATTTAACATTAGGTAATACATGGTAGCTAATATATTACTTTACGAATGGGAGTTGGTGGATAGGAATAGTGTATAATTAATGTAAATAATTACAGTAGTATACTACACTGTATTTCACTGTAGATAATTAAGATAGATACGATATACTATACTACTCCACTGTAGATAATTAAACTAGATACGATATTCACTGTAAATAATTAAGATAAACATGATATTCTACACTATACTTCAATGTAGATAATTAAGATATTCTACACTATACTTCAATGTACATAATTAAGATATTCTACACTATATTTTACTGTACATAATTAAGATAGTTGCGATATTATACACTACTTCACTGTAGATAATTAAGCTAGATACGATATTCACTGTAAATAATTAAGATAAACATGATATTCTACACTATACTTCATCGTAGATAAGTAAGATAGATGCAATATTCTACACTACTTTAATGTAGATAATGAAGATAGATACGATATTCTACACTATATTTTACTGTAGTTAATTAAGATAGATGCAATATTCTACACTACTTTAATGTAGATAATGAAGATAGATACGATATTCTACACTATATTTTACTGTAGTTAATTAAGATAGATGCGAT